GGGAAGATGTTTTCAGGTCCGAAGATTATTTGCTCTTAAAGAAGAACCCTATGCTGCATTGCAGGGACACGTGATAAATAGCGTAAATGTGAGACTGAAGTCCTGAGTTTTTAGTAATCTAGTTCCGATACACTTCTGCTGTCAGTCATTACGTGTCTTTTATCTGGATGAGGCCTGAGTATGGCATTTAAACACTAACAGACAATCATTTTGTGAAGCTGTGGGGTTTTTTGTTCTTTATTTTCTTCCTTTCCCAGCAGCTCTGAAATAGTTTTATTTATGACAGTATGTACATAAATGAGAAAACAAAACAGAATGGCTGGTTGTACTCTGTGGCTTCCGAGACACAGTTCTTTCAAGAATGAGTTTGAGCCTACATGCTATTACTGTGTAGGGTAGTAATTGTCAGGGACTTTTATCTGAAAGAGCATATTTGATTTTCATCTAAGCTTTTAAATTCTTGAGCAAAATCAAAGGATGTTGTACTAAATACCTTTCCATAGATTCGAACAACAATACCTCTGGGCTCTGATCCAAGGATTTTTTGAAGTAAAATTCCATCTACTCCCTTACCTTTCCTTTTCTAGCTTCTTCCCCTCCTCAGTCAATAAGCTCTGCCTCTCTTGCTTCCCTTTCTCCTTGGCCCAGGCAGCATCAGGCTGATGTAGCTATATTGCATTTGTTTTAGGAAAACATGCCTGTTTTCAACACTGTGTTGTGTCCTTTTCCTCTTGTCAAGCCTGGAGTATGCTGTCTTGTTGAAGAAATTGAGAGTGGTTTTTGTACTGTCATTTGGGACAAATGAAATTTCTTAGCATCCTTGCACCCCAAAGTTGAGTTTTTGTTTTAGATTTAATGTGAATTGTGAACTTAAACTGTGTGTAGGCATTTTTCTTCGGTGTATAGTGCCTATTTTCAAAAAAAATTTTCTGTGGGTTATTTTTCCATGTTATGTGTGCATCATTAAGCAAGCATAGTTGAATGCTGGAATTTTTTTAGTTCATGGAATGTTTTATTGAACTTAAAACCCCACAATATATTCTTTGTCAAGGACCAAACTTACAGGATGTTTTCAGAAAACTAATCTTCAATTTACTTAGTGTGAAGCTCACTAGCGTTTTCTAGTTTCTTTTGTCACTAGTAAATCAAGACAAAGCAACCAGAGTACTAGCCAGTTTAATGGCATTTATAATGGTTTTACGTGGAGAGAACATTGCAAAGGCAGGAAAAAATTGAGGGCCCGCAGCCTTTCAGTTGCTATTAATCTTTATTTCCTTGTTCTGGGGGAAAAAAAAAATTAAGATTCAAGACATTTTATTTTTAACTGATCGTCTGAAGTTGGACATAAATCTATGTCAGAGGGAAAAAGGTAAATTGGTACATTTTCTTTTACAAACTGGTCCTTTATTTCACAATTCTTTGGTAGCTTTGGAGGTATTACCTGGTTTATCCTGCTAAGAGGAATTGATAATCACTGAGAATATTTTCCCTAAATAATGAAAGACAATTATTAATCAGTCATTGGTAAAACAAAATCTTCAACTTTCAGATGAAAGTTAATCCTAATAACCATTCTGAAGTTGAATGTAGCCTGAGCACAAGAACTTCTCTTCTAGAGGAAGTCTGAATAGACTTTCTTTCCCTCACAGTATGGAAAGGTATGACATTATATCCTTTACTGAATCAAACCTGAGAGTGATTGAATTAATACATTAATTCATATAAGTAACTCTGGGAAGGGGAGGCACAAGACTAAAAAACTACCCTCTTCCACCCTTGAAAAAGAACTGTCCGAAAACAATCCTCCTCACACCCCTCACAAGACAGCTGGTTTTGATCAAAATTCATCTGGAAGTATGGAACCATGACTGGTACCTCCCTAATATCTCTCTCTACTGTAACAGTATGAACTTTCCAATGTGACGAATGTTACAGTATCTGTCACAATAGGAGCTGATGATTACATTTTGTAGATTTTGTGATGGAGAAAGCTGGGAAAGTTTCTGTATTTTACCAGGGAAACATGCTAGCTCCTTTAACATAGACTGTTCCATGTTTGTGCATCTAAGTGTTATATTGCTTAGGTATGGAGGTGTCTGACGTACAGGGATAGGATGAGAGAGGACTGACATAAATTAGAATATGTGAGATTTTGACTAATTTAAGAAAAAAAAATTAACATGAGGTTGATCAAGTATTGGAACAGGGGCCCAGAGGAATTGTGAAATCTCCATCCTCAAAGGTGTTCAAAACTTGTCAAGTTCCTCTGCAGCCCTTTTTAATTGAACTTGCTTTTCCTAGGAGGCTGGACTACATGACCTCCTAAGATCCCATCCAAACTACATAATTCTATGTTACTACAAAACTTTCTTCATCTGCCTGTCTGACATGGTCTCAGATATGCAAAAAATGCATGCCACAGCTTCTTCTGGCGATCTGGATATTTGATCATCCACTTAAGAGTCCTTGATACACTGCACCATTTCTCCCATGTATAAGACTAACAAAGTAAGAAAAGCAATAGAGAGAAAATGCATGGTAAGTCTTTACCGCAGCATACAGTTGAAAGGCAGTTTGGGTACCAAGGAACTGAAAACATTTCTGACTCCTGAGGACTAAGCAAAGTTTTTTGTTAGCCAAAATAATTTCTCAGTAGAGTAGCCATCCATTCTGTCAACATGGACAAGGTGGTACATTGCTAGCCTAATTTCATACTTAGTGTTTCTTAATGCCTAATAAAATGTACACTTCTTTGTTAATAGTGACTTATTTTCTGCCCTATATTTCCTAGCTTACTCACACCACTTTGAATTAACAATGCAGATAAGTTACTGTGGACAATTAGATCCTTCAAAGCAAATCTTCAGCTTTTTCCATGTTTTGAAAAGACAAGTAGAATCTTAAAGCACAAAATAAAATCTGAAAATTGTTTAATTGCTTAGCTAGAGACTGAGCACTTCAGTGAATGAAATGTCCCTCAAGCTTGGAGAATTTAATTTATTGTGGAAAAAATGTCGGGATAAGTAACTATCAAGCTACAGTTGGAGTGATGATCCTGAGAGGCCATATAGCAGCAGTCTGTAGCTGGAAGGGCAACCTGGAGCTACCTCATGTGTCCTGTAGTCTCGATGTGATCTTTGTGCATACATTTGAACTGGTGAACATGCAGATGTTGCAGAAGGCTTCAGGATACCACTGGCATTAGATTTTGGAGTACAAGGAAAACTTCCTGTGGGCAGGTTTTCATGTATGGGCTCCTGCACCCTCGTATTTGTCTTGTTTCTCTAGGTACATGGCTTTTTTCTGAATTGGCAGGAGGCAGTGGTAGCAGTAGGTAACAGGCTTAGGCATATTTATCCCAATGTAATACTTACTTTGAGTACTGAGGCCACACACAATTCTTACTCATGCATATTGTGGCTTTGCCCATAGGTATTTGCAGTATTTATTTAAGTCATGTCATCTTACAAGTTCTCCTGTTTAAAAATTCTGTTAAAAACAATGTGCTGGCGTGGTTTATTTGGGGGCACTTCTGTTCAACAAATTCTCGATCTGTGTGAGGTTTTGTTTGTTACTCCCCACTCCCAGTTAGTACTAGACTAAAATGATTCTTTGCCTGTTCCCCCTTATCAAGTGTTTGTTTTTTACCTCTTGGACGTTATTTCAAACATAAGAATGTGTTGTCCAAAGTAGCTGCATTAATCAGCTCTGTATGGTAGAAAGAGTTCCTTTCTTGGTGATGGCAGATTAATATGTGTTTACAGTTTTAAGAAACTGGTATTCATTAGGTTTTTGGACAGAAATGCCAGCTTTCTCATTACTTTTAGGCTATATACTTGAATAACTGTGGTAGTTTAAAGTCCAGTTTTACGTACTTAAAAAGAGGTTTAAAGGAGAATTCACTAGGTGATTTTGGCATCTGCATGGGGAAGTTTCAAAGAAGTAAAATGCTCACTGTCTGTACTTTGAGAATTGTAAATGAAAGCTTTGTGTTCTGTTGGCTCTGCAATATTGATTTTATTTATAGACTGTTCTTGCAGCTGTTCCAGTCTTCTGAATAATAGTGATGTAGCTATTCAGCATTTAATGTAAAATGACATTTTTTAAGGCATATCTGTATATTAAATAGGAAACCTGTGCTTTTTAACTTCTACTGAATGAGTGACTTACCTGTGTATACCTCTGCCCTTCTAATAGCTTGGTTTTGCATGACTAAACAAGTTACAAAAGACATTTTTCCCCCCTCCTCTTTTCTCTACATTTCAAAGGGGATGTTTAAAAAAAATCTGTGGATAATAAATCTACTTTAAACTAAATATGTCAATATCTGCAATTTTTTCATTAATTAAAACTTCTAAAATGTGAACATGTCCTAAGCATAACAACTTTTTTTTTTTTTTACTCCACTTTGGAGAGCACTTCCTTTCTGAATGTGGGACTTTGATGTGGAAAATACATGTTTATCTTTTCAAGACCTAGGTGGTCTTGAGACTGTGTTGATTATGGAACACAGAAATATTGCTAGACTATCGTGTGGCTTTAAATATATGGGTGAACATACAGATATGCAATTAAGGTAATAAAATAGTAGCCTAATTTTATGGACATCAGAATGAACTCACATGGTATCTATTTACTTGTCAGCAGTCAAACCTAATAATTTTAACACAAGTCACTTAATCTGTTCTCTTCTGTGCAGTGTTGCTGCTTCGCCAAACAGAGATATTTAGACCAGCATAACTTCCATATGTGTTCAGTGACTTGTTTCTGCTGGATATTTTACCCATCACTGTTGGTGAACAATAGTAGAACTTTTTCACTTGGGAAAAGATGTAAACATCTTGTACTGAAACTTAAATACTTAGTTGTTGGCTTTTTTATTGATGATTTTTGCATCAGTAAAGATGTGAGGGATGAGACTTCCAAAATGTCAACTTATCAATATTTGTTTAAATTAAGTAGATTTTACTTAGCTAAATGCTTTTGAACTATTTTTATAGGGTTTAGTTTAGCAGCTTTTAAGAGGAACAAGAGGAAGCTGGAGTTGGCCGAAAAGGTGGAAACAGATCTCATTCAACTAAAGAAAAGAAGACAATCAAATGAAAAGGTTAGTTCCAGTTTAAAATTCTGTTGTGTCATCCTAAACTTACAGCTGATTGCTAATACATTTCATGTCATATATGATGACACTAATGTAGCATCAGGAGGCAGTTCTTGACCATCCTAATGTTTAGATGTTAAACGATAACTTAGTGCAATTAAAACTTTCTGCCTTGCTATTTGAAAACCAAACTGTCACTTTATATCTTGTTTGTGCTATGAAAAATATGTTGCTTGTTTTGAACTGGAAATATGACAAATGTAAACACAAAAAGATAATTATTTACTGAAACATTTTCTTTAGCTTGGGATCTCTGTCACTGTTTCCCACTTTTTAATGTTTCCTGAGCGCACTGCATTATGGAGCTGGAATTGGTGAAATTTGAAATATCAGGTAGGTAAACATGTGCATCTGTGCATGCATCTAGCATTGACCTGGCCCATATTACTTGTACTACAAAACTATTAGGATTCCCTCCATTCCCTTCACTCTTAGTTTGAATTTAGAGCCTCTGTTACCATTCGAGAATGTCAATTTGTGTTTACTGTTGAATATGAAAGCATAGCTCATGAAATCAAATGCCTATGCTGTATTTGGGGCCTATGGGCTTTCAGATTGGCCATTTCTCTTTGCTTTGGTAAGCTGAATGACCACTAGCTAATGTAGTTAGATATCTTGGTATAAATAACATATAAATCCCCTAAAATTGGCAAAAAAGTTTATTCTCTAGTCTGTACAAATGTGAACCAGTGATAAATTAGTAATTTTTCTTTTGTGTTCTTAGATAAGAAGTTTTCCCTAGCAGGGTGATAATTTTTCTATTTTCAAGGTGATAAGACCTGTAAAGAAAGTAAGGATAGGTGGGGGGGAAAAAGTTATTTAGTTGTTTTGGAACTTTTCCTGTTTACAGGACTTTACTTACTACTTTATGAAACTACCTGTGTTAAAATGTAACTGAGGGAGGAGGGGTCTCTGTATAAGTCTTGATGTTCATGTAATAAGGGGCAAGTCAATGCTTGAAACATATGCCAATGCATGAGCTTACCGACCTGCAATTTGAAATTTCAAGGGCTCCAGAGTCATGTGCAGCACTTGTGGGAGACCCCCAAAGGCCAATGATGGTAGGTAAAGGAGGTGATCAAATAGAGCTCTCTACTCATCGGTAAGTAACCCAGTAACATAACACAAGGGTTCTGTCAACTTTCTGGGCACATCCTGTCCATTGAGGGGGGGATGAAAGCAACGAAACCATGCTAACAATGTGGACTGCTTGTGTTATCCACAGAGTGTAAGATAATTGCAGCCTCATGGAAAGTTTAGTTTTTCAAATAGAAATGGAAATGAAAAATCAAATTCTACAGGAGCAAATTCTAAAAAAAAAAAAAAAAAAAAAAAGGTAGAATAATTCTCTAAGCTATTAGGAGTCATTCAGCAGGGATGAGGCACGTGATCTCTCATGCTAAAAGTTGTACTATCAAAGCTGAGCTCTCATAAAAGGTTTAAAAATAATTATTTAAAAACCATTGAAATACTTGAATAATTAAAAGTGATAGTATTGCAGACCAAAAAAAGCTGAAATTACTTGGAAGTTTTAGCTGCTGATAAATTTCACCAGTGAAAAATAAGCACACAGTTTTAAAAATTACTTTTCAATAAAAGTTAAATTATACCAAGCTCAAAAAGAATGAGAGGCTGTTTAAATTTAATAAAGATTGTATGGAAAAACTAGGCAGTGTCACTCACTAAAGGACTTTTTATTTCCTGAGTAAATGGAATTTTTTCTTTGCTGTATTTTTCATCATTTACCCAATGTAGGGTTTGTAGAGGGTTATGCGATCGCACGCAGGAAGATCCATTAATAACTTCACCAAATTTTGAAGGTGTGAAAATTGGGACTGTTCTTTCTAAGTTCTAGTGACGCATATTTTGATTTACATGGTTAAGAAATCATTCTTGTTTGGGTGTGAATTAACTAAACATATTCATAAGGGGACTGGCTATGATGTCTTTATTCAGTGAGATGCCATTCTGAAGTTCTCACCTCAAGCATCAGTAAACATCAGAAGTAAATGTTTGTCTTCTTACTGTTAACCTGTCTTTTACCAGAGGAAATTGTCATTGAAAATATCCTAGAATTTGGCTAAAAGCCCTATTTTTAATTTGTCTTCTGCTATTACAAACTATTTTTACAGCTGGTCTGAAGTTACTTGTAAGAGGAGTTGTCCTCTCCTTGTTTTGAATAAGTGGCACTAAGAATTTACAGTGCATGTTAATTTTTTTTATAGGTTAGTGTTTATAAGTTAGGTTTTTTTATAGGCTAGTTATTTAACTCCATAAATAACATCATTTAGTTTGAGGCTTGTTAAAACTGATTTGATTTTTACCTAGTTTAACATATGTACTCAAGCAAGTGTACAACATGTTGAATTACATGTATAGAATCAGTAGTTTCATATTCTTCAGCTACTGTATTGAGACAATAACACTGAACATATTTAGGCAAGAAAAATACACCTGTTCAACAGAAAAAAAAAATTTTAAAAATATTTTGTGCATTATAGTTTTTATCGTTGATCATCTTGAACATACCATGTAAACTTTGAGCTAGTTCCAGCTTGAACAATTTGGGTGAGCAACCTTCAATGCATAGCAATATGCATCATTCCTATTATATATCATGAATTTTAATCACTTGACTTTTTCCTCAAATCAAATTTTTTATGGCTGTGCAAAGGTAATTGTAAGTGTACTAGTCAACTATGGAAGTCCCAGTGTCTGCCTTATTTGTTCTTGCAGTTTGAACGGGAATTTGAATTCTATGCATTTCCTTTTCCTTAAAAAAAAATAATTTTTATGTCCCACATCCATGCTGAAATGGTCTTTGATGATGATAATAATACTTTTTAGACTTCCGAAGTATACTTCAACATCCATTTAATATGGGAAAATAAACATAAATACCTTTCATCCATTTCAGTTTTGAAAAAATGAACAAAACAAAACTCATCTGTGGAATACAGTATGAAATAATTCCCTCATCTTGAACATGGAGGTCAGACAAAATGTTCTGTTTACATACCAAACAATTATTAAACTGGAAAGGCTAGGGTTGTTTGTCAAGCTTTGTACAATTAGATTGTAACTGCCCTTTTTCAAACATACGAATGTTGCGCCGATCACACATAACCTGTCACGATCGGACTGCTGTGAGAGTACATCATGCTGTGCTGCCAGTTGCCCTAGTGGAAAGCATTTCTAGAATTTGATTTGTATGAACTGGTTCCAGTGCTCACAGAATAATGACGTTTTCCCTTGACTTAGATGAATTTTTTAAAGTATTTCTTTAAAATACTATTTATTTGTGTGGATACTTGGGTAATAGCATATAGATATTAATTGCTTCAATTTGATGCATTTTGCGTTTTGTCAGTTATGATACTCAGAGATGAGGTTTAATGGTAATTGCTTTTCATGGAATTTCAGAACAATCTCAAGTTGAGAGGGAAAAGGCCGAGTGTGTAGACATCTTTCAGCAGGCACTGGGGAGAGCTCCCCTAAACAGTTAATTCCTTCCTTAGGGGCTTGTAAAATGATGACTATTTATGTTTTTTTTTTTCAATGTACAGAAGAAGGGAAGGATGAGATTTCTAAAATACTCGATAGAACTCTACATTTGTGCAGATATATACCTTCTTGCTTTGCATGCATGTTCTTAGCTAAGTTGAATATTTGGTCCATGATTTCATGAAATTAATTTCCTTTCCTGTCAAAAGGTGCAAATTAATTAAGTAACGTGAGGTTTTACTTTTCACATTAATGTTCAGTTGTTTCCATGTAAAATATTAACTACATAATAGATTATTTTTAGGTTGCAATATTACATTGTTAAAAACCCCACTCTACTTTTACAATGGGCTTGTTAGTATAAGTTATTAGCTGAAGTCAGTTATGAAAGACGTTAACAGGTATCACCAAATAATAATCAACTTGCAGAATTGTGAAGTCTGAGGTGCTAAATTAATGAATCAAATATATAAAAAGCTAAGGGCAAGCGAGCTGGATCTTTTTTAGTCCCTGTTGGGCACATATAGAATTTGGACTTACTTCAGACTACATAAATTGTAGTGTTCGACATATTTCTATCAATTGTCTTGGTATTAGCTGGAAAGGATTCTGTATTTTTCAACACGCATATGGTTTGAAGAGGTGAAGTGTGTGACATTAGAAGTCTTCTCACCAGGTGCATTCTTCCTGGAACTCCTCAGGCGCATAATGCCTTTGTGTCTGGTGAAGTACAGGGAGTACCTTGGTTAAATTGTGATGAACTCTTCATTCAGTGCTTCAGAAATCGTAGGGTTGTCAGTGCAGTTTACATATGTAGAAGACTTTCAGTACTGATCTGTATAACTGATTCATGGTGTCACTTGTAAGCACGTGAAGTCAGTAATGTTGAAATGGGAGCAAACATAAAAATAGGTCTAGATTAGATCTGACAACATACTTTTCCCACTGGGTATGGAATAGAACGGGTCCTCACTGGTTTTCAGTTTGTTGGGTAAGGATACATATAGCATCAGCAGTCATTCTTTTTCTGATCACAAAAAAGCCCCAAACTCATATTACTGAGAAGGAAAATACAGAATTCCTTTGCTTCAGTGGTACAGATTTCCCTCAGAAGGTTGTGTGGGCCAGGTTAAAAAAAAAATGCTTCCCTTAGAAAAGGTTTCCAGCTTCCTAAGTTGCCCCATCTAAAAATAAAATAAGCCAAAGCAAGCAAACTATACCACTGAATTGAGAGCAAGTACTGATAGGAAAGAGATATTTTTTTAAAGGAAATAATGGCGAAGAACGTTTCCATGCAACATATACTTGTAAATGCTTGTGGTTTTTTGATTAAAATATCTTTTAAAAAAATAAATTAGTAATATAACCACTGAAGGCAAATATTTTATGCATGTGGGAGCTAAAGCAGAAGATGGATGGCAGATTGAGCAAATAGTTTTACAGATGCTGCAAAGAAGGCTGCAAGCATTTTTTCTTTGCTGTCAGATGATATGGAAAACATACTGATCCATACGGAGTCTCATCCTTCTGTTCATTATGGGAACCCCGAGTGTTTGATTTAATATGAATTAAGATTACACAGGTGGCCTTAATTCTGGCATTTCCTAACTTTGACGGGCTTGATTTTCATATCTGTAGTTGTCTATTAATCAAGTTTTTTGTTGTGGGTATAATTTCCTTTTATCAAAGGGGGGCAGGGGATGGACAACAAAACCTGCATCATATTAGTAGTTCTTCTCCGTATAGAAACGGTAAGATCATAGGAAAATTAATGCTGGGAAGAGTTTTATCCACTCTGATCTTCAAAACCTCTGAGAATGGGAGTTTGCTCCTCCAGTGAGCAGCCTGCTCTGCTGTTTAAGATCCTTTCAATCCACTGAATAGCACTGTTCTAACTGGGTTAACAATACCTAAATTACATTGTAGCTGACAGTCCTGGGAGTTGTGGAATACCTTTGTCTATGGAAGGTGTTAAGGAAGGGTTCCTGAATTTTCTTTTATTTTTAAAGCATGGAAAGGAACTTTCCCTTTTGTTATCCACTTTGCTCCGGTCCTCAAATTTTTTTTGGCCTCTCCTTCTCCTACCTTCCCTGATCCTGGTTTTATCTTCCTCTACTTTGCAGCTTGCCCTTTTTTTTTCCAATGCCAGTTAGACCCTAGATCTATAATTTTTCACCTCTCTCCTTTAGGCAGTTATTCTGCTTTACTGCTAGGACATCCACAGGTTTGTTTTAATATTGAACATGGTTAGTGCCAGCTTCTCAGTGTAGAACTTGTTCAGGAAGAGCTAGGTGCAGGTAAAAACAAGAAACTTACCATCGCTCTGGGTAAAAGCCAAGGATGACAGTTCTCCTTAGGAGTTCCAGTTGCTTGAAAAATACTTTGTAGTGCTGCATTACATATTTTTCCTTTTAAGACTGGTACAGTATTAACTCAAGTGTTATCTCAAATGAAGTGCGGCCAGAGTATCATCAGCATGAGTCTGCTAAGAATTCTGCCTGATAAGTGATGTTGTATGGCCAAGGAAATTTTAATTGATAATGGGAACTTGATAATTTGAAGTTGAATAGTTGGGTGTATTTTTTTTTTCTTCCTCCCTCTGGATCCTAGTCCAGAAAATGCTCATTTTTATTTATGGCTTAATATCCTTTGTCACTGTTTGCTTGCGTAAGTTTATGTAGGATTTTTTTGACACAGGTGAGTTTTTGTACAGGAAAGATTCATCAGCTTAAGGCTTGAGGGCTTGTGCAACAGCAGCATTCATCTTCAGAGAATGTGATGGATGATGTATCAGTTTTGTTTATTAATTTTATTTTATGTACACTGCATGCTGTGCCCCATCAAAAGCGTGTGATTGGGCATGAAGTCAGAGTGCCTTGCCCTGGGTTCTGCAGAGAAGGGAATCTAGAGCAAGCCTAGGCAGAGAGGGGAAAACTGCTCTTTCTCTTAAAGGGAATGAACGTTGTGTATTAAGGAAAGGGGAAGGATGGAAAGATCCAAGGTGAGACAGCCGAAGTGTTTGTGAGCCAGTAGGCAGAGAGCTTGCATCAGGAATGAATACTGAAAGGCGCCTGCTCTTAGGGGAGCAAATCTGCCTCAGAAGAGATGGAAGTAAGAATGTTTTTCTAGTGACCCAGAGGGAGGGAAGGGCTATTTGTTTCAACCAGGAAGCCACTAAAGATTGCTGAACTGAGAGCAAGTCTGGGAGAAAGAACCCTTCCTGGGGGAGATTTCTTCTCAAGGGTTCTACTTATTGTCTCACTCAGAATATCAGAATTTTCTCTTTACGTGGTAAGCTGCTTCTTGTGGTGGTTTTTGGTTCTGTTTGTTTTGTTGTTTGTTTGGTTTTTTGAATCATATATACCTTTAAACATCCGAGTCTCTGCAAATGCCACCTTGAAGCTTTTGGGAAAGGCCTTTTGATATGTCATCTTTGGAATGAGCTGCTGAACAATTTCTTAGGGGACAAGTACCCACCACTAAGAAAACAGCATTTTTGGCACTTTTCTGAGTAAAGGCAGATAATCTGAGCATTGGATGAGTTTTGAGATGTTTATTACCTTGTTTCCAGAGAAGTTTTCTTTGGGTCCTATATGAGGCAAGAGAGAGTTTTCGGAAGATTTGTGGCAGCACAGTTGGTACAATATGCATGATAACAATTTCATTTTGTTGATCGGCCTGTCAGTTAGTTTTGTGCACGCTAGTTTGCACACTCCTAAGAAGTATCATCTGACTTTAATATACTATTTTTAGTAGCTGTTTCTGTTTGTGTATCCTGCAGGAGAATGACTCAGGAACATTGGATACAGTTGGTGCAGTTGTTGTTGACCAAGAAGGAAATGTTGCTGCTGCTGTCTCCAGTGGAGGTTTAGCACTAAAGCATCCTGGAAGAGTTGGTCAGGTGATTATGCCTTTTCAGTTGGGAATGATTGTTCAGCAATTGTGACACTAAGAAAGAGCTGTGATAGCAAACTGATGTTCTCCCTACCTTCGCATTAATCTCTGAAGACATTATCACTGCACTGGAACGCAAGTTTTGTTTTTAGTGTCCTCCATCTGTGTTATAAAACACTGATAGGTAAGAAGTCGTTCTGTAGTTAGTGACCTTTTGCCAGAGCTATTAAGAAGTTAATTTCTTGGGCTTAAATACCTCATTTATAACCACAAATAGTCTCTTAGATGCTTAGAGTGTTTAAAATAAGAATTTCATCAGTATTTAGGGAAGCTGTCCTAATTAGTTTTTAAGTGATCTTGTGAATTAGTGGAAGTAACAAAGGTATTAAAGGAACACATCAGGTATAGGCATTCGTTATTGTTACTAGGTGAGGGAATTTTGAAGTGCATCAGAAATGCCATACTCCATTGCTGTACAGCTGTAGTTTTGGTTAACTTTTGCCACTGTCCTAAAAGCAGTTCTCTTGAAATGTATTTAAGATTTTCTTTTGGAATACCAGAGTGAAAGGGACTTCATATAGATAGGGAACAGCTGGAATTATTTTGTCTTTTGATATTTGTACCCTCACTTTACAGAAAGTTAGTTTAGAATACCATACATCTACGATAATCACACAGTTCTGAAGAATAGTAAAAGAAGTTGTAGCAAATCAATAGGAATTGCAATTTTGACTGTTATGGTTTACTTATTTATCTTTTGTGTTAATATTTGGATTTTTCTTGGTGTTTTTTTTTGATGTTGTTTTTGGTTTGGGGGCTTTCAGTGTTGTGGGGGTTTTTTAGTTCTGTTTTTGGTGTGTGGTGGTTTTGGTTTGTTTTGTTTCGTTGGGTTTTTTTTTTTTTTGGTTGGTTGGTTGGTTGGTTGTTTTTTTGTAAGGGAAGGGAACAAACCCAAAACCTTGTATACTTAAATTTATGAAAGATGCACTTCATTCCTTAGGCAGCTCTTTATGGTTGTGGCTGCTGGGCTGAAAATACAGGAGCTCATACCCCTTACTCCACTGCTGTGAGTACTTCAGGTATTTGCTACTTTTATAAATATTTCCAAAAGTTGCTATCTTTCTCTGTAATTAGTTGACTAGTACCAGTAAAGTATTTCTATGAGTGGTGAATTAAAATATTAACATTATTTCAAGACTACATTCTACACATATTTATCTATGTATAAATACATATATATTTTAGATATGTCAGTATTGTCTTGAAATCTGTGAATTAATCTCTGTTGCTCATTTTACTTAAAAAAACAGATTAACAACCATGTGAACTTTTATCCTGTTCAGAAGACTTTGTATTTCACTGAAAGGATGTGCTCTGTTTATTATGTGTTGAGGGACTTGTCCTCCTGTAAAGAAGTGCTATTATAAGCCTAATATTGCCTTAAACAGAATGCTTCTGTGACTGGAAGCCTTCTTTAAAGGACTAAGATAATTAGAGGGTCCTTGAACATAAATGGATCCTTTTATTACAAAAATGCTACAAGATTGCATTGTTCCCTCCAAAAATATTTTATGAACTATTTTAAGTGAATATTTCAGTGAAAACTACTTGTTACACTTTTTCATAAATGCTTATGTCAGGATGCAAAATTTATGATTTGGACTACTGCTTAACGGTCAGAGTTGTCAGTGTTCAATATAGGGAGAGATGATGAAAAATCTGTAGAGTTCAGATGTACGTAATGTAAACTATATTCCAAGAGTACTGCAGGGTTAGAGTCCTGTTACAGAAATAGTGGGGTGGAGCAAGGTAACAGGGTGTGGAACTGAAATCTGACAGAGGCTGAACAGCATCAGAAATATCCTGTGTTGCTCTCAAAGTCATACAGCTTTCCGATTTCCCCTGTATGTAAGTGTGTCTTGCGCTGTTGAAAATTTGTGTAGATATTCACTCTTAAATTCAGTGTTAGTAATAGCAAGTGTCCTTTTTAGTACTCATACAGAGGAAAGTTTTACTGAATGCAGAAGTGTCAGAAGATATTTCTACTCAGGGAACACGATGTTGATTTGAGTTTAATAAATGCTTACCAATGTAAGCAAATATGTTCAATTATTGCAGTATTGGGGACCACAATAATTAGTGATTATTAGTCTCTAATATTGGACTTACAATAATTAGAGATTGTTTGTGAAAAAGATGAGAACACCACCATTATTATTTTTAAACTGTTCTTTACAAAGTCAGCTGGATTTGAAGTCTATGCAAGTACCGGCAAGCATCCTGCTACACTTAAAGGAGATGTCTGCGTTTAATGATGGCCTTAAATAGAAGCCTCCTTTCTTTTTGCCGGTACCAATTTTATATAGTGGTAAATACTTTAATGTTATACTATTTATAACTATCGCACATATACATATATGCATGTTACTTTGGTTCAAATCTTCTAGCTTCCATGACATTACATTAATGCCAATCCCAGTTAATTGAAATAGACTGCTAGTGGTCTATGAAGCATGGCCATCTGTTTATTCAGTGATTTGAAATTCAGACTAGTGGTATTTAATTAAACTCTTGTTTCTGGTTTTCCTTTAAACTGTGTATGTGAGAGAGAGAGATAGAAATGTTTACAGGAAGTGAGAACTCTTCTGTAATCAATGCCATTCTTTTTTCCATTTTCAGAAGCTCATAATGTTTTATTTTATAATGCAATTTATGTTTAGTGCAGTTTTAAAATATATTGATGTCTGACTCTTGTTTAAAATATGAGCATCCAACAATGTGAACCATTAAGTTAAGTAAGGGGTAGAGGGATGGAAAAATGAAATTACAAGAAAGGTTGAAAGAATGAAGCTTACAACTTGGCTGGATCACAACAGGAGATGAGAATGTGGCGTAAACATCTGCAGATATTCAAAAGGTGAAATTGCCAAGGCTAAGCAAGAAAATAAGATGTTAACATACGTAGTTCTTGGATGAATTTTTTAGAAAATAAAGGTACTGCTTAAACTCTAGAGATGCCTTGGTTTGGAAAGCTCCAGGATGGACAGTGCTTCCAAAGAGAAGTGTTGTCACTTGGTGTACCTAAAATCAGACTAGACTGTATTTGTAATAGTGATTATATTCCCCTTATTGTAGGTTTCTAAATCAGTTTTGTGTGGACATATATATTAAAAAACCAGCAACAAATGAAACTTACATGTCATGTATGAATCAAAACTGTGTACACATGCACATTCATTTCATATTTCATTTTACGTACAGACATATACACTTGCATGTAAAAGTGCTTAATATATAAAACTGAAATTTACAATCAACTTAGATTTCTGTGGTTTTCACAATGTAACATTTTATTGTTTTTAATTTTACATGTCTGTTCATTTTCATTTGTCCTTAAGTGGTAAATTTAGCACAGATTTATCCTAATATTTTCTACAGGGAATTTTTTTTTTGTCTTGTATGGGGGAGAAAAAAAGAAAAGACGACAATTATGCTTTGGTTGCTTTGTGTGTTGAGTACTGTATGTGTAGAATTTTAATGTTTATTGGTAAATGACTTCACAAAATAACCAATTCATCAAACTGCATTTGGAATTTAAAAATAAAAATCTTGAATGAAAAGTTTAACTATGATTCCCTTAAAGCTTTATCTAAACTACGCTCAAATTTATTAAGTATTAAATGTATGTTAAAACAAATAATTAAGGATTCGTTGGGAAATAAAAGGTTTCACGTTTGTGCTGGTTTAGACTTTTTAAATTTTTTTAGTGGTAGCCGGGGATAGAAATTCCAGCCTTGAGAGTTTGTTGTATCAGGCTCTATGTTCAAGTCTCAAAAGGATGTTCTTTGGCATTAGTTTCCCACAAGCAATTTTTAAGGGCCAGGTTCTGTAAACTATTTTGATTCCATACTTATGAAATTGCTCATGTCTTTGCGTTTTGGAGTCTGTGATCAGCAAGAGATTGAACGGGTTGAGGAAAACTTCTGCTGTGGGGAAAGGAGAATTTGGAATAGTAAATCAAAGCATAGAGAATACAAATTTGCACATTGAAATCTGTGTGGAATTGGCAGGTACATAAGTTTGGACACATTGGGTTGAACCAGAGCTCCAGATAGTTTTGTGTCCTCTTTCAGATAGAGGGGGTTTGCAGGTCTCCAAGGAACAGTATGGGACTGGGAAAAGCACCTCCACTGTGTTATCCAAGTTTCTAGTGACTTGTGATATTGGGACTTTATAAGCTGGAGATATCTTTGCTTTTAATATGTCAGGATGGCTTTCTCAAGATTTCTCATTTCTTTTTGGACTTGGAATACCAGTTATTTAAATTTTGCTGGGAATGTGTTTCTTATCCTTGTGATGGTTTACCTTTGTTGAAGCTTTCTTGGAAAAAGAAAAGTGTTAGTTTAAATGCCACAGTTAGGAAGACAGTAGATTAATTCTTGATTTTTTTTTAAGTTATTTTTGTTCTACAATCCTTCTATTGAAGCTTCAATTTGAGACACATCTTTCAATACCTTCCTCAAATAAAAAAAGGGAAGGGGGGGGGAAGACACCATCATAAAATTACTTCATTAAAAGTACTTCATTAAGAGTACTTCCAAATTCATGTAGCTTGCTTTCAATGGTCATGTATTATTTGAAGACATACTTTTACATTTTGATCTTCTGTTCGCCCTGTGGATGCTGGCAGGTTTCCTGCTTCTGTGTTCAGGGAGGATTTGGTATTAGTTCTTATGCCTTTAGCAAGTTGTTTCTCAAATATTTTTGGCCAATTTTGTCATGATTTTATATTGCATGTGCCAAAGGTGGTGGTTCTGAACTTGTTTGGGCATGATTTCAATTTTTTGAATGGTATTTTCTTACCTCTAACAGTCTCTTGGCCATTTTGTTTAGCCACACTGTCTTTGGCTTTATTTTTTTTGGCTTTTCAAAACTTACTTCATGATTTATAAAATACAGAATATTGTAAAAGTCATATTTTATGGCTATAGTTTAACAGGGGGGTGGAACAACTGAAATCAAAAGATGAAGACTTTCTAAAGAGAGGATCAGGGAGATGGTGGAACTTAGAAATGACTGTGAAGATAAAGGGCCTTAAATTTGAGTTTTATTCTGTTACTCTCCGTCTAAAATTCAGTTTCTGTGTAAATAAGTAAAATACTTCTGATTTTTTTTTTGGACACATTTCAGCATATGAACTCTGAATTACAATAAAATTAATATTTTTAAAAAAATACAGTTGTGGGTCTTTATTGGCAACTGAAGGATAAACATTACAGGAATTCTCTAACTATCTTGAAACCAATATTAAAATTCAGGAAATTCAGAGAATGTTGCAGTTGCAGGCATAGCTAGGATACCTGGGCCACCGTAACTGTGACATCTAACAACATAATGCAAGTGCCGTTCCATGTGAGAATAATGGTAGAGTGAAAGCTTGTTAAATGAGATGAGTGTTACCAGTGACCTTTATTTAGTATAAATGTAAGTAACAGCTAAACTGGTTTTTGGAGCAATGCAGTTAGAAGCCAAATCTTTGGTCTTTAAAAGCTTGTGCACGCATGTGTGCGCACATCTGCACATGCGCACAGACACAAACAAAATGGCCTCCCCTTTAAGCACCCCCACCACCTCCCACAAAAACAGGCCCAAACCACTCTTGTAATGCCACTTGGAAATCTTTAGAGAATGTTTTTTGTTGGTATATGAATGTAAACACAGGAAGATGGGTATTATTTGGAGGGAAAACATTTGTGAAAAGAACCCAACCGCAGGAGAAACAATAGTCCGTTTTTTGGCTGTACTTTAAGAAAACATTTCCTATTCTTTTCCTGAACACAAGAGGAATCAAAGACACTGTGTATATTCTTCTTGTTCAGTATAATATTAAATGTGACACGGGAAGTTCTCCCCGGTTGGAATATCCATGATGATTGTGAATATTCATCTACTAACTGTGCCAAAAGTAATACTACCGGGTTAAGAGGCAGGCAGTGTTTTTCCTGGGAGGGAAATTGAAAAGTAAAAGTTCTCTTTGGATATACAGAATCTTAAATATAAAATATAGAGCTAAAATTTA